CGCCACAAGAAATCAGCATCGTACTGCCTCAAATCCAACCACGGACTCCGATTCTACCACTTTATCGTCTTTTCTCTTAGAATTCAAGACTTTTTCTAGTCAACTTATGCAACAAAATAGCCTTGTTATTAGCATGTTATCCACTTTGATTAATAACTTGAATAATGGCAAGTTTAATTAAAATCGCTCAATGGAACGCAAATGGTTTATTACCTCACAAACATGAAGTGGAATGTTTTCTGAAACTAAATCATATCGATATTTTTCTCATTTCGGAAACCCACTTTACTAAAAAAAACATTTTAAAATTCAAAATTATATCACTTATAATGTTCAAGAAGAATACATGCAAGCAACACAAATCCTATTAGAAACAAGACTATTTGAAATAACCATTTCTGCGATATATTGCTCTCCAAAGTTCAAAATTTCAGCTAATGGCTATTCGTCTTTTTTTGAACAACTGGGATCCAAATCTATATTAGGAGCTGACTATAATTGTAAACACACAGCTTGGGGTTCCAGGCTGACAAGTTCGAAAGGAATAGAACTTCACAGGGCAACAGCAAATAATAATCTTTTCCATATTGCAACACAGTCCTACCTATTAGCCATCGGATCCAGATAAAGTACCAGATCTTCTAGATTTTTTCATAATCATAGGTATCCCCACAAATAATTTTGACATAGACAACAGCTATGATCTATCGTCAGATCATTCTGCAATTGTGTTAACATTTAGCACAATTCATGTAGCTGAACAACCTTCAGCTATCCCCCACAATAATTGGAATCAATTCAGGGCTTTACTGGATTCAAAAATATTTCCACATTTCAAACCGAAAAGTTCAGCCGATATTGACTATAAGATAAACAAATTCAAAACAGTTTTAAAAGAATCCTCAAAGATATTTACCTAAACATGTCGCCCGAAAAATAACACACTTATTATTCCTTCCGAGATTTAAAAATTAATTTCGCAGAAGAGAATAGCAAGAAGGATATGGCAACAATCACACTTGCCACAAGATAAAACTAAGTTAAACCAACTCACTAGAACATTACAGAACAAAGTAAAGGTATGGAAAAATTACGTTTTTAAGACATATCTACTGCAACTTAACAGGTTTGATAACTCCATTTAGAGGCCAATCAAAATCAAAAGGAAACTAACACTAACATAATAAGTAACATATTCGTATAATTTTTCACAATTAACACCGACCAAATACTTACAAACAGAAACGAATATTCATTCACTAAACAACATAATAAAAATAGAGAAATGCAAATTAATATACAAAATGAAATATAACAGCATTAAAACAAGTACAACAATCAAGCACAAATCAAGATATACATGAACACTACACTAGACAACACAGCAATTTTCACATTGAACACGTTAGAAAGAAGAAATTGAAAGGACATGTCATAATGTAATTACATATTGTATAATATAACATAAATTACTAACTAAATTAATAATATAATAACTTCAAGTACATGAATTTCATGTACGTTAGACGAACATTGATTATAAAATATATAAAAATATAAAAATAGTAATTAAACTATAAATATATTATAATAATATAAAACATGACATAATGTAAAACTAATATTTTATCACTTTTATCATGATAAGCGTAATAGTAAAAATAATAGAAAACAATTCGAGCTACATGTTCATATAATTTGCATATGCACATTACATCTATTATACACAATAGTTTTTTATTTTACTACTTAACAATAAACAACAATTATGAATAAATAAAACGCATATGATATTTAATGAGCGCTAACGATATTAAGATGACCAATGATGACGACAAATTTAAAAGAAAAATAAAGAAATATTATAAGAAAATTGAAGATTGAATAGATATTTCAATTATTATATATATTATAATGTAGTATAATGAAATAGACAAATGATATGTATATATAACAGATATCTCATACCAGATACCCCTGTCTGACTGAGATATGAAAATAATATATATATATATATATATATATATATATATATATATATATACAGGGTGGCTGATATGTATTGCAACCAATTTCAGACCGCTATTATTTCTAAACCGCTCATCAGACAGATGACAGATTTATTCCAGTGATTGTTCATTTAATTGTTTACAAGCGTACAAAAGCATTTTGATCTATTGCATTCAGAAAAAAAGTTATTCGTGATGGAAGTCAAGCGTGATAGTGCGATTGCTTCATACTTGGCTGAAAAACCTTAGGTGGCTATATTTCGAGCCCTCCAGTATTTAAATGCGAAGAAATATTCTGTTTCTCGTACCATATCTCGTAACCGTGATACACTCAGTGTTGCACCGCGTCCAAAAAGTAGACGAAAAAAAACACTAACAACCCCAGAAATGATCCAAAAAGTATAGGCAAAAATCAATCGAAATTCGCGTCGCAGTGGTAAAAAAATGGCCCGTGAGCTGAACATATCGCAAAAACGGATGCAACACATATTGAAAAATGAGCTTGAACTAAAGCCATTGCAAATCCAAAAACTGCAAGAGCTCATCGATGCACAAAAAAAAGTTAGACGGAAAGAAGCGAAGGGGTTGCTTCGCTTGCACGAAAGTGGCTAGTTACCAAATTTGGTTTTCTCAGATGGGAAGTCCTTCCAAATCGAGCAGTTTGTGAACAAACAAAATGATAGGGTTTACTTGCCAAAAAGGTCAGCTAAAAATTTACACCTTCGATTGGCCACCAGAATTCGAGCGCCGCCGCCGGTAATGATGTGAACCACCTTAACGGCCGATGGTGACATTCCGCTCTTATTCATCGACCGTGGGATCAAAATAATTGCCGAAATTATCGGGAAAATGTCTTAAAGGCAGTATTGAAGTCCTGGGTAGACAAAAATTTCGATCGCAGACCATGGACATTCTAACAGGACTCAGCACCATTAAACTCAGCACGCGTCTACCAAAAATGGCTTATAAAAGAGGTTTTTTGCTTCATTTCCATCGCACAATAGCCACCAAAATCTCTGGATCTAAATTTGCTGGACTTTTGTGTCTTAGATATTTTGAAGAGTAAGGTTCACACTAAAAAATACCAAAGTGTCGATCATCCCAAGAAGGCGCCTCGCCGGGAATGGGCCAAAATACCCCAGAGCCACTTTCGTGCAGCGTGTTATGGTTTTTCTGCCGTTTGAAGGCCATAATTCGTGCCAAAAGTGGCCAATTGGAACAAATATAAACTGATTCTAAAATTTGATGTTATTTCTGACATTTTTGCTTTTGAACAATGAAATTCAAAATGAAAATGACAAAGTTATAGCGCTTTACTTTGTTGCAATACATATCAGCCACCCTGTATATATATATATAAACGAACAAGCCTCCACTAAAGATTCGAACTCTGAATGGACAGAAGCAATAATTTCGAACGACATGGACATTGCAATTGCCACTGATAAAATCCAAAAATATCTTATATCACTAGAATCTTGGCTTCACAAATGGAATATCAAAATCAACACCGACAAATCTCAACATATTATTTTTTTCTTTGAGAAAGCACATTAATCCCCTTGTCCTTCTCAATAATTCAATCACTCCGAATTGCAGCAGTGTAAAATATTTAGGTATGCACCTTGACACCAAATTAAACCGGAGAGAGCATATACTCAACAAGAAAAAATAAATTCAACTGAAAATAAAAGATCTGTATTGGCTGTTAGGCAGAAAAAGTAATTTATCACATAAGAACAAAGTCCTCATCTACAAAACGGCTATCATCCGCATCTGGGCATATGGCATAGAACTTTGGAGATGTGCCAGTAAATCCAACATCAACATTATCCAGAGATGTCAAAACAAAATTTTACGTTTACTCAAAAATGCACCGTGGTTAATCACCAACTTCTGCTTCCATAAATGGTCATAGCCATAATCAGAACAGTTCACGAACAAATAATATCAAGAAGCTTAGCCTACAACAATAAACTGCAAATCCAACCATCAAAATATTGCCCAGACCCACAGACGACTGATGGCCCGTTGACCTACCACTGCAGTAAACAAATGCGTGTTCCAGCGAAACTAAGCCGGAAACACCTTTCACCAAGTCAATTTTGTTTCATTTATATTTTTATTTTTTACTTCATTTTATAATTTTCCTTTAGTTTCTTAATTATTATAACCTATTACGTATATTGTTTACTTTATTTGATTGTTCTTTTTATTTGATTGTTCTTTATTATACTAATATAAGCAGTTTTGTATTATAAGAATTTATAAGTCTTGATTGACAAAATAATAAATAAAGGTAAAGAAAAAGATGTTCGTAATCATTACTTATAATAATTACGGTAACTATAAATAAATAACATAGTCACAAATTATATTTTGTGCAATTTTTATTAAATTTTAATTACATATAATTTCATAATTATTTGAACAACTGTGAAATACAATTTGATCATCAATGTGATATGAAATAATAGTACGGAAGCTGGAGGCTGGTTGTAACAGTTTTTTTTATACTGATATATCTTGAAATCTACTGATAATATTTTTATAAAATAAAAATGATTAATTGCTGTAACTATTCCTCTACCAAATCAAGTCAAAAAAAATTCATAACTGTTTCAACTCACCTAGTATTTGGGGCTGATTGTAACGTCTATCAAGGCAAGTAGTAATGACAAAAATGACAATAATGCCTCTGATAATTATCCCGTTTAAAAATATTATTTATTTTTAAGAAAATTGACTTGCTTCTAAGTAATTCATGAATCATAAATCAACGTAAACTAGAATTATTATCATAATACAAATGAAAGAAAGTGTCTCCTGTAACACAATTTACAATTGCCCACATTTTACTAACTCTAAATTTCACCATTTTAATGGATATAGTATAGCCATTTGGTATACACATACATAATAGTATACACATAGTATTTAAAACTTATTTCAATATATGTTGTCATAAATATCGTATTTTATTATTTTCAGTTTACTAATCATATACCTAGAGGATCGCAATTCTGCAGGAAGGATAATTTGGCTAGATTTTTGAAATGTATGAAGAAGGTGTACGGAGCAATTTACGATTTTACGTAAGTGAACAATATTATACATACGCACACACACACATATATATATATATATATATATATATATATATATATATATATACCCGACAGACGTTGCCCTGTACCCACATCTTGGTTTTTTTAATATCTTATACTAATATTTCCCGTTCAGTTAAAATTTACACCAATTTACTATTTACACCAATATATGAGTGATGTTAAATGTAGAACTGCTTCAAATAAAATGATGATTCTCAATTCCCACAGTTCAACACTTTATTTATCCCTTTAACAAATATTTTATTGTTCAAAAAAATTGTATATTAAAAATTATACACTGTAATTTATAGAACAATATTATTTCCAATAGCTCAATTTATTTTAGTGCCAAGGGTTATACAATATTTTTAGTCATAACCGTAGATGTGGTTGTATAAACAAAACATTTTTTGTTTATTGACGACTAAAACATTGATTTTCCAAATTTATCACACAAAAATCATCGTCTGCCTTTGTGATTTATAGCATAAGATATACGTATTGGAAATTGAAGTCTTTTAAAATGTATAACATATTCAGAAAGAATTAATATATAGAATTCGCGGTATAGGTACAATATCACCTTGAATGTTTCTATCCAAAATAATTGCTTCAAAAATGTTGCCTATAATTTTTATAATTTTGTACCATATTTTAACTGGCTTTTAGTAATTTTAATATCTAAATTACATTTTTCTCACTAATAATTCAATATACATTATTACTTAAGTTCATATTTGAAGTGAATTAATTTGTCAAATTCTGTTCATATGTGCTCTATTCAACCTACGATCAACAAAATTATTGCAGTAAATAGAGAGAGGAAAAAAACGTGTGCCCTGTAATTTTTTTTACTGTGCTCCAATTTGCTTGATATTTTGGAAATAGACTAATCTTAATCTTAAGTTCAGGAGTGAAAACAATTTGCACTTCTTTACCACCCCCGGCATTATTTGGATTATAACTCATCTAATTCTGATTTTATCACAACTTGTAATATACTATTTTAAAGGTAATTAAATGATTTACAACTTTCTCTATCATAAATTTTACCGTAACTTCTCTTATTCCCGTAGGGCAAGTTATAGTAATCGCAAAAAAATCGAACATGAAAATGTTTATATATCTTTACGTTTCAAAATCTTCTGAACATTCTGGCATACCTTCGAAAAAATGGATGTATGTGTGTGTGTGTGTGTTCGGATACAAATTTTCGTCGACGATTTCGGGAAGCGATTTGCATAATTCAAAAAACATTCGATTCGTATTGGTAAGGAGACGTGCTGATTAGTTTTTTGCAAATGCGTGCCTAGCCGTTCCGAAGATGTGGGGCAAAAAGTGCCAAAAACGGTAACTCAGTTTTTAAGAGAACGGAGCGTCCGCTTCGAATAATTCAAAAAACATTTTACTTGTATTAACAAGATGAAGAAATTATCTAATTTTCATGAAGGCAGGTCTAGCGGTTTCGGAGATCCAGTAAAAAAAGTAAAAAAAATGCCATTTGGCGGTCAAAAATGATCATTAGACATATGCACATTAAATTATCAGATATTTTATATAGATTTTAACAAAAAGTATAAATTTTGTTTACATTCCTATGGGTTCCGTATACCAATGTTTATTCGTTAGACGCGGCGCTTACGCGCTTCGATATTTTGTCTCTATGCAGTTAAAGCAGTACGATTGCTTTGAAAAAATGTTCTGAATTTCCAAAAATTTTTTTTTTTAAAAAAAAGTAAATGTTTGTCAAAAATTTATAGTTCCTCAAAAATCTAATTTTTTCAGAGTAAATTTTTTTCAAAAATGTTAATCTTTTTAAAAAAAAAATAATTTTCGGTACGGGAAGTTTCAGCAAAATACCTTAAGGCACCATGCCATGCGCCACACTACTTTTGAAACGGCGATGGGTAAAAGGGCTCGAAAGAAATTCTGGTTGGACGACCACCGTGTAACAGAAAAATAATAAAAAGCAATAATTAGTCAGAAAAAGACCTTGAATTTTCATCTATACACCTTTATACGTATCTTTTATTCTGTCAAATATATAATAATGAGAATTTGGTTGTTTTTTTGAATAGTAGTTTTTGACTAAAGTTGTGGTATTTTCTATAATCCATCAAGATCTCTTAAACCAAGTTAATTCTAGATGGAAAACGATTATTTTTAATTTTGGTGGAAATGGCACTCATAAACTATTTGATTTAAATGAAAAAAATATTGTATGCGTCTTTTATTCGCATGATAGCTCACTAATTTAACACGCAGAAGTACTCATTTTAAAGCTAATTTTGAGCATTATAAAACCCCAATTTCATATCTAGTTTAGTATTGTTGCTAGAACACTATGAAGCAACAAATTTATATAATTTATTATTTATAGTTAAAATTTATATTTCTGAAGATATTAGCAAACAACACTTTTAATTCTTCTTTAACGTTTAGTTAAAAAATAATAATCTATCAAATTGAATTTTAAATAGGGTATGTGCACTGACATTTAACAATCGTGAGACGCATGCACAGACTGCATCACCTGTCAGGCGCATGTTGTCTCTATCTTATTATATTACAGATTTTAATTTTTGGCACATCTCAGCTGCTTTTTGGCAATAATAATGTAGACATTACATTTTTCTTATTTATAATCAAGAATTTATTATATTTTTATATTGTCTTAGCCTATAAGTCAATGAAAATGTTTGGCAAATGACAGTCTTCATTATTTTTTAATGTCAAACTATTCCTCAAATATTTTCAAGGTCAAATGATGAGCGGTTTTTTCAAGAACCAAGCGCACTCGATAAAAGCCGAAGGGTTCACGAAAAGTTGATGCAGGCATGGCCGGTCTCCAAACAAATGTCTTTAACCCGGATTTAGTTAGAGCCCTTGCCGCCAGTCGCGCTCTTGCGCCCGAATACGCACTCATCGTGTAAGAAATTTTTCGCGGGCAATACAATAATCTTCGAGAACGTTCGATCGTATTTGTTTGGATTTGACTGGTTGAATTCAGTTGCGTTATAAGTTGCGTTGCGATTAGTGATTAGTTTGATTCAGTGCGAGTAGTGTTAGAAGAAAAGCCAATATGTCTAAGTGCAATAATACCAAAAAAGCCAAAATGCATGTATTTCCTGCGAAAAATGACAAAGTACGTAAAAAAATAATAAAATAACCAAATATTGGCCACAATTAAATATCATTTCTGATTTTATAATTGTTTGCTATTTGGTTGCACAGAACCAAAAATCCTGTTTTAGGAAATTTAACTCCTTTGCATTGCAATAAGTCCCGTTACGTATGCGATGCACACTTTGCTGGTATGTAAAATAAACACAACGGGCGCTTCACTGGAAATTAATGCTTTGCCTACATTAAATATGCCAGGCTTGTGCTTCAATATGTTATAACAACAACTGTGTAATAATATTTCTACTCTATAATGTTTTATTATTTAGGTTTCAGTAGTGATCCATATTGAGAGCGCAACTGTCTTCTGGATAGTGACACATACCGCAATATATTTTACATATAACCTTAAATTGAATTATAATGAGTTCATTTAAGTATAAAGAGAACTACTATGTAGCGTTATCGTAAAATGTAAAATAATTTTGTGAGAAATAAATGCTTTTAAAAATTTATTTTTCTTTTTTTTTAATTAAAACGGTCCATATAATTTTGGTTTATTTCTATAGCTTCAACTAATACGCGCAAGTTGCCAGATTGGTCTGAAAAACGTGGTAACGAAATATGGGTCAAGAGAGCAATCTATATACTCTTTTTTTATCTATGGATGCAGGAGTAGGTTTCAAGGATAGCTAAACAGAGAGCAAAACAACTAGAGAAAATAAAATATCAAAAGATATGAAAATATATAAGTTAAAAAGACTAAAATTGCAAAACATCAAGATTCAAAGATTTGAAAAATTATTTTTAAAATATTGATAATATTATGATAAGAGTCATGTACTGAAAGAGCATAATTTCGTTTATAACCGCAAATGGGGTTTAAATAGATGAATACAGATTCAGAAAACTTTCTGAAGTCACTATTTTTTTCTCATGTAAAATAACAGAATTCTTGGTATTAAAAGTATGGTTTAAACTAATGACATGTTCCGAAAACATAGTCGGCCACAGACGTAACTGTATACATGTGCAACTGAATGAATGCGCAACCAGGCGTATTTTCCCAGAGCCCACAGACGGCTCAAGTTTATGTTCAAGTATTTGCGCAAGCATATTACAAATGTCAACTAAGAAACGTCAAGACATAACCTAAAAATATATCTTTTTTATTAATTTATATATTCACAGCATCAGAAGAGAATTCAAAGTGTTCATAGGGCTAATTTAAATACTTTCGATAACTTCATAAATTTGAATTATGTATTCCCCTCTGAAGTAACACAAAAACGGGACATATGCTGCTACACGCGGCCAACGAATGAACTTGCCGACATGAATGATTGCGTAACATAGACCTTATACAATTTCATGGACTGCTAGTCCCCATACATTTCTCAAGTAAAAAAGTGTCAAAAGATGTTCTATGGTATGAGGGCATACGAGGGTAATTTCGCGGCCGAGATATGTCAAACTCGATCGCTTAAACGTCAAATGAAAGTCCGTGTATTCGAAATTGTTGGCAAAATATTATATAATATACAATTTATGTTGAACTAATGAATGTAATGAACTATTTAAATAAATAGTTAATAAATATTAATTTATTTATTTTAGTTATACAAAGTGTTTAAGGGAAATTAGAAAAAAAAATTAAAATAATATTTTACATATTATAAAATTCACTGAAAATAAGGACAGTTGGCTAGAGCTATTATGGGAAATTAGAAAGCAATAATGAAATATTTGTTTGAATGTAATATATTTATTATTGGTGTTTAAAAAGCACAATTTTCGTATGAAGGCGGAGTACATATTTATCAACTTTGCTTTTCTTTCTTTCTTCGTGGTGCATTCTAATT